CTAGACCAAGCAAGTATTTTTGGGTAATTATGACCCATAAGGTACCACCTAGTGCGCACTTCTGACTTAGAGGACACTTGTTCACGTACTAGAGCAAATTATGTCCTCACAAGCTTTCCAAAATCAATAAGTTTAAAACTTATACAAAATCAAATGTAAGTTACCACATTTCATGCACAAGTAAGTTTGAATCCACATAAACCATGTTCTAGAATTCAAGTCTACATATCATATGACATGTCATGTCCTCAATATGCAATTTATACTCAAAGTAAGAATATTTTACAACAATTGAACCAAATTACCATCCTAAGCCACAAGTACTGAATAAGCTATAATTTAGTAACTAGCTTTCAAGGTAAACAATTGTAATATTCTAACAAGTTATATACCTACAAAAGATATATTTAAACAAGTCATGCAAGACAATGATATCATGTATCATGCTAAGTCCAATTCCTTAATTTAAACATAGAAACATTTTCATAGACATAGTTAAATCCATGGAATAAGAAGATATAATTTAATTGACTAAAATAATTAAACTCTCTAGATTTCAAATCAATCCTAAATAATCTCAAATTAATATATGTTAAGGGACATAGCATAGTCTTCACATATATCACATCAAATATCGAATCAAGGGATTAAAACACTTAAAATAAAATTAATTAAACTCATTAATTAATTTTCTCTAGATTTCCAAATAACTCCAAATGCCCTCAATTTTACATAGGTTGAAGAACATACCAAGGTCTATTTTAATATCACATTACAAGTTGATTTCATACTTGTTACAACTATGTGAATTAATCTTTCATAAAAGATAAATATTAATTAAAATTTGCAATTCTTATTCAAATGCTCCCAATTTAATATATGTTGATAAACATACCAAGGTCTAATTTACTAGCATGCCAAAATTTAATTCCAAGTTATACACAACCATATGAATTAAATCTTAAATATAGAAATTAATTAAATTAAATTCTAAAACTTGAACAAAGGCATGCTTACAAGTTGTATATGCTTATATAACAATCAATATAACATAAATATAAATCTAAGACATCCCCTACCTCAATTTGAGATAAAAATCTCAAAAGCCACCAAAATGGAACCACTCTGAGTCCAGCGAAACTTCTAGGTTTTGTTGGGGACAACACGATGAACATGAACCCCAAGGAAGCCCCATCAAAATCACAACTTGACTTCGAACCCGAACTCAAAAAATGACCAAAATGAAATGCCAATCCGTAGAATCAAAGGCCTCGCCAAGTTGAACATAAAACACTAAGGCACTTTGACTTTTTACTAAAGGGAGGAAGCTCAAAAGAAGAGAGAGAAGGTGGCAACCATGGCTGCCATGGAATCCGGCCAAGAGAGGGGAGAGAGAGATTGAAATCTTATTTTTCACTTAAAGACTCCCTATTTATAGAAAAACTCAAAAAGTGCCCCGAAAGGGCCCTATCGGGTCCGGAAAAGTGGAATTTGAGCAGACGCGCTCAAACGGCAAAACTCCACGAACAAAAAAGAACCAAAATGAGAAAAGATGAACAACGGAGGAAATGGCATCGAAAACCGAGTCCCATGTAGGAAGATATGCCCCGAACAAGTTCAGCGACAACTAGGGCCAAAAACCTTTAAACTGGGGGAAAACAAACAGATGGCAATTATAAGAATACGCGACTCGATAAAAAGTGAAAACGAGTCCCGTACAAGAATTCAGGCTCAAAATAAGGCATTTTGCAATAAATTTCATAAATTGCACATTGGCCCCTCCATAAAGTGAAAATTGCACAACTGGCCCAAAATGAAAATATCTTCAAAAAATATTTTCTTAAAAACCCCAGAAATAAAATATCTTCAAAAGATATCTACGAAAAATACCCTAAGAAAAGAAAAAATTTCTGAACAACTATGCATCCATGCCCCTGTAGACACTAGGAGCAACTAAGGTTCTTTTCTACAAAAGTAAAGATACATATTTCATAGAAACCACTTAGAATGAAGATACGTGAAGTCAAAAACTAACTCCAAACACAAAGAATGAGGTTATGCCAACAAAGTGGCAAACGGGGAAAAGACAAAATAGGGAAAAGGACAAAAAATGAATAGTGTCGAAAAATGAAAAATGTGGAAATGACTCGGTCCTCAAAAGAAGTTGTCAATCCAAAATAAAGAGTCTTAGAAACCATTTCTGAGCACCCGAGATGACACTAAGTGACGAGAAACTGAACTAAGAAAAGAAATTTCAACGAAAAAAATTCATCCGTGAAATTCTAAGGAAAAAGGAAAGGAAGGAAATGACCAGTTCATTACAAAAATTCTCATCCACCATCATCCATAAGGTTCTCAATTTTGTAGCAACATTAGTCATCTTAAAAACATACCTATACATGGTAAGAGTACCCAAAAAAAAAAAAAAAAAGCATAGTAGTGATATAAATTAATAATTTTCGTTTTAGATATTTATCTACAATACGAAAACATTCTTCTAGTTAAATATTCCTTACCACTATCACTATGGGGAACAATTATTCACATAACCATAATATTTAGTCTGCTCGATCTCTCCCAAGCTTTATGAAGTATATTTTTACTCACTGTCTTTATCAGAAATAACAGTAGGTTTCTCAATTTAAAATGTTAAATCAAGATTTAGCACACCTAAATTTTTGGACTTAACTTACTCATTCCATTATGAGAAGTTAGTCCAATTGAGAATCAGAACAGATGTAGCATGTGAATTAAGGGAAGTAATAAAACAAACATAATAATATAAAATGCTCACAACAATAATGCTTTGAGTTAACAACACGTATGTATAACTTAAAAATATAAATACTATGTATAACTATAATGATGCTTATAAAATATTAATAATGATGCTTAGATGTATTTATATGTATACCTTTATTGGTGATGCATTATTTAATTTAAACAAATAAGTTACATTTGGATATCCTATATCTACCCAATTAAAAAATACATACAATCCCTTAATGTCCATTTAATCACTTGAAAATCAATTCTCTTTGGGAAATTATTTCTTATGATTAAATAAACTCAATATTCATGAATATCATAAGAAATCATAAGCATCAATAATTCATTAAATATTGCAATTATGTCTACTACTAAAATTAATATTCATCAATTATTATGGTTAGGCCACTTTAGCAACTACAAACCTTTACATAATTGGAATATTAAATTAGCTAGTAACTAATTTATGATTAATTATGTCTACTACTAAAATTAATATTCATCAATCATTATGGTTAGGTCACTTTGGTAGTTACTAACCTTCACATAATATGAATATTAAATTAGATAGTGATTGATTCATCATTAATTTACGCATTTAACGTTATATATACATACTCATATTGATTGATCCAAATTTAGGTAGGTTCGATCCCAGAAACTTAGTAGTCCAAAAATTAAATAAAATATCATTTTATTTATATACATAATAAAACATATTATTTTTATTTTCGGACTTGAAGATCATAATTGAATCAATTTAAAATTGATTCTCAAATATGTATGTATGTATGAGTACAAAACAATAATTATTTGCATGTCCAATAACATTAAATTAAATTTTAAGATTCACGTATTATTCTAAAAAATTCAGTTTTCTATATAAATAAATCAATCTATAAAACTATTTAATCATGCAAATCACAAACTTAACTTACATTACCATTAACTTGAAATATATGAATATTCTATAATTTCGTGTCAAGTACTAAAAGTGACTCTGTCATTAACTTATATTAAACCATGCACAAAAATCAAGAATTAAACATATATATATAATTTAACTATCAAGCAATTCAACGAGGCTAAGAAATCAATTTATGAAAATCAAAATACAGGCTTGGAAATCGATGCATGTAAACCAAAATAAATTCACCGATCCATCATAGTAATCCATCATGCACACACACTAATCATGAATCAATACCCATATTTATGCATCTATTTTACATATATGGAAACTATCATGTAAACTATGTATCATTATTCAACTCTCAAAAATTCATTTAAGTTTGAAAATCGAGGTACACAATTTTGATTAATTGTTTGACGCCAACAAATTGATCAAAACATATCACGCCAAACAGTTCCATGAGAACGCTACTGTTCATGTATATAGAGACGCTGAATCTAATAAATTAAATTATTTAATTTTAATTTGAACTTATGCAACATTAATGAAAAATAATGAGTTCATAAACCATAAACTCTGATACCACATGAAAACTTTAATTATTCGTGCAAATCATTAATCACAAATAAACATGAATCCCAAATCTTAGAAATTCATTATTCTCACATACCTATATATAATCAATAAATAAATAGTTAGATATAAATACCTCGATTTGTAATTGCAAATATCATAGATATCAAGACAACCGTCGAGATCTTTTCTACCGAACGAATAACGTGATAAATTGCAAGTCAAAGTATGGAAACTGATTTTTCTCTTTTGATCTTTTTGCACTCATAAATATTATACGTGTTGCTTTCATTAGCGTACATAACTAATGGGAATATGCACTTTTATAAAGGCAGAGAGAGAATCGGTTTTCCTTTTAATAACATTAATTCTACTTTCCATCAAAGTAATGAATAAATAGGAAAATCCTTCTCCAATAATTAATTACTAAAAAGGTAATTTATAAGTTGACCAAATAATATAATATTAATCTGATATCTATTTTATTTAACCACCAGATAGTAGAAGTATCACGTGTCCAAATCTTGTGGGCCACAAATATAAGAAAATATCTTACATAAATTTCATTTTGTTCCATTAATTCTTGTTGAATTAAATTGTTAAGTTGTACGAGTTGTTATGTCCCAACAACCAAACACCGGAAAAACCTAAGAATACTTATTATAAGTAGCTTGCCAATAAATAAATAAATAATCATATATCTTCGCTAATGCTATGCCCCTATGCCATACACAACACCAATCGGGAAGTAAAAAACATAAACATGATCATTTTCATCTTCGAACATTAATGTCATATACAGGGCAAAAACAAAAACACCTATCATAAAACCTCATTTGTAAAGTAGTTGCATTTTGATCTTTTTCAGTTTAACCACCACTTCTTTTATGTCACTCCTATCTTCTGGTAGTTCTCTTGAACACTCCAGCCCTAATTCTATGATAGTTACAAAAATACCTTGTGTGGAGTTCATTAAATCTCCTCCTGCTGTCAACAAACCTTTGTCAATGATTCTTGCTATTTTGTGGGGAAGTGCTGCACTCACCCATTGCCTTAGACTTAATTCATCGGTGAACATTTCATTTCTGGGATTTTTTCTTGTGAATGTCTCCAACAACAATATTCCATAGCTATAGATGTCAACTTTAGTGGACACTCTTCCTTCTGAACCATACTCTGTCAAAATATTCATTTTGTTCAAGCATGGTCAAAAATCATATCTTCATTAATTGTTTATCATATATTTCTAATTAATCCTGATATTAAAAAGGAAACGCAGAGAACAAATAATTTTTAACTGGTCATTAGAACTATGCAATTACTTATGTATATAGAGGCAAAATTGATGCATTTGTATGCTTGGTCACCAATCCTCGTCAAGATATTCATAGGATTGATGAGAACAAGCAACTTATGCTATTACAACAAGCCATATGAAGGGTAAAATTTTAAAAAATATAGAATAATAATAATAATGGCTAGAAAGGGTATGCATTATCATCCATATATAACTTGATAATCTAACGAGTTTGAAAAAATAATATAAAAAATGATAGAGGAAGTTGTATATGTAAATCACGGTGAATAAGGTTGAAAACATTTTACCTGGTGCAATGTAGCCAACTGTACCTAAAGTCTCTGTTTGTGTTGCAGTCTTATTTTCAACTAAAATCTTTGCAATCCCAAAATCTCCCACATGTGCGATCATGTCTTCATCTAAAAGAACATTGCTAGGCTTCAAATCACAGTGGACAACAGGCTCTAATTGACCCTGATGGAGATGCTCCAAACCTAAGGCAACATCAAGCATAATGCTGACTCTTTGAAAGAGATTCAAGCAGTAATTGTGAGAATATAACCACTTCTCTAGACTTCCATTTGGCATGTATTGCAAAACTAAAGCTCTTAATTCAGAGTTAGAACACGTACTTATGATCTTAACAAGATTTCGATGCCTAACAGTTCGCAGTACTTTGCATTCAGTTTCAAAACTTTTGAAAGCTTCTTCAAATTGTAAGTTCAGAATTTTCACGGCAACGTTTGTTCCATCAGAAAGTATTCCTTTGTACACAGCACCAAAACCTCCTATGCCAATTAGGTTGGATTCACAAAACTTATCCGTAGCATTACAAAGCTCTTCATATGAAAACAACCTATGCTCCATTACGTCTAACAAATTGGCAGAACTATGAACTTGTGCTTTACTTCCATAACATTTTTTGAGCATCATATACAATAGGGCAATGAAGATTGCAACTGATTCAACAATGGCTAGAAGAACATATTTGTAAGAAAAATGTTTAGTTCTTGAACCTGAGCATGGCGGAACCTGTAAAGTTTGTTTCCCACAAAGTGCTTCATTCTTCAAAAAAGATTCCATCGTAAAATTTTCAAAAGGACCTCCACTTGGAATCTCCCCAGATAGCTTATTGTAAGAGAGATTCAAATATTTGAGATGTGAAAGTGCCTCTAGAGACTTGGGTATAGAACCAGATAGATTGTTGTGGGAGAGGTCTATGAAATCAAGCGTTATCAAGTTGCCAAATGATTCAGGTATAGGTCCCCAAAATGAATTCCCAGACAAGTTGATGGAGCCTATACTTTGAAAGGCTCCCAAAGTGCTTGGAATGTTACCTGAGATTTGGTTCCAGGACAAATCTATGATTTGAAGTGATTTCAGTGCTATAATGTTGGGATCTATAGTAGTTAATGAATTGAATGACAAATTCAAGAACCAAAGATTATCCAAGCTCCATAAACTCAATGGTATTGATGAGTTCAATGAATTAGAATGCAATAACAACGTCCGCAACCCACTAACATTTCCGATGCATGCGGGAATTGATCCGGAGAGGTCATTGTTATTGAGACTAATATCTCCCAAGTTGTGCAAACTGCAAATCTCCTTGGGAATAAATCCTTCAATCCTGTTATCATCAAGGTACAACCTTTGCAGCTCCGTCATACCCTCGATTGTTGATGGAATTGATCCGGTGAAATTATTGCCACTCAAGATAAAATACTTCAAGTTCTTAAAGGAACCAATTCCCTCAGGAATTTGACCCATTAGTTGGCAATAAGATGCATCAAACATGAGAAGGGAACTAGAAAGATTTCCAAAAGAAAATGGTAAGATGCCGTGAAATGGATTATTATTTATAAATAACCTTTCCAAGGATTTCAAGCTTGTCAAAGAAGTGAGAAAACTAAGTTCCTTACTTCTCGATTCTATAGTTAATCGGTTATTCTCCAGATTAAGTGATGTGAGTAATTCTATGTGGCCTAGACTTGCTGGTACTGTTCCGGTGAAGTGGTTGCTACCTAGCCTTAACTCGGTGAGCATAGAAAAATTGGACAGACCGGAAGGGATGTTTCCACCGAGTTGATTTACACCAAGGCGGAGAATTTCAAGATTAGAAGGCCCAATAGTACTGCTCAAGGGAAGATTTCCGGAAAGATCATTAAATTCTAACCAGATATCATGTAAAGAGGAGATGTTGAATATAAATGGAGGAATTGACCCAGTCAAATAATTTTGACCAAAATAAATCCCTTCCAAACATGGAACCTCATTAGGAATATTGCCATGAAACTTGTTTATTTCCAAACCAAGCCACTTTAAGCTCGACATGTTAGCAAAGAAAGATGGAATTGTACCTGTGAGGTGGTTTCGTCCTAGATAAAGCTCACTGAGACTGGACAAGGTACTCAATTCTTTGGGTATGCTGCCAGTAAATCGGTTTCCTGTTAGCAATATGACTTGAAGCTGTCGGCAGCGGTGTAAACTTGCAGGGATCACCCCTTCTAGGTGGTTATAATATAAAATGAGTGCCTTCAAGTGACGCAAATGACTGATCTCATGAATAAGTTGACCACGAAAATTGTTGCCACCAAGATGTAGTTTCTTGAGAAAGGAGAGGTTACCCACACGAGGGGAGATGGTGCCATGGAGTCCAAAATCAGGAAGCTCCAAAGCTGTGACTCTTTGTCTGTGTCGGCGGCTACATGAGACACCAACCCAATCGCAAAAGTTGGTTTTTTCAGTCCAGTTGCTCACCAAAAGGTTGTAGGGGTCCAACGTGATTGCGGACTTGAAGGCAAGGAGAGCCGATTCATCGGTGTAGTTTGATGAAAACATGGCACGACAAACCGCGCATGACTGCAGTAGCTGAAGCACTAATAGCAGCAGCAGGGGAATGCCAAACCTCTCCATCTTCAAGGACCAAACAAACACAGCGAGTGCCTTAGAAAGAAAGAGAGCTACACAGTGTTTCAGTAGTATATATCTTGATCGAACTGCACTATACATATATATTGCACCACCAATTAATTAAGCCTTTACGCCCGAGTCTTCTTTGATTAAGATGGCCATCTCAAAGTCATTTTTTATTGCTTAGGTGTTTGGATTAACCCTAAAAAGATAAATTAATGAATGAATAAATGGATGGGTCCTTATGCTGTATTTTTTAAGACAAACGCATGTGGCAGGAGGTATTATTGTCGACTCCGTTCCAAGGGTGATGAACACGTCCAAATACTTTTTTGAAATTGAGATTTCAGTCAAACAAAAGATTAGAAGAAGCCGCGTCTGCGATGCGATAGAACTGTCAATGGATTGTTTGGATCCGAATTGGATCTTTTCGAAGTGTAAAAACTTTATAGATTCTTTTTTATAATTATTATTATTATTATTATTTGACCTGGCAATGGGTCAGAGAGGGAGGGCAGAATGAGTGTTTGTTATTTGGAAGGATAGAGGAAAGAAACTGATACGAGGGAAGAACAAAAAGTGAGAAGAAAATAAGAATTGGTTCACACTGTTAAAGAGTAGACAAAAGTGATTGGGTGAGGTACTTGCCATAGTAAAACAAAAATGGTAGTATCTTTTAAAGGTGTTTTTTTTCTCGTCATGGTTTTCTTAATCTCATATTAATAGAGTCCGTCACATGAATGACTGAAGCCTCAATTTTTTTCTGGTATATTAATAAAATAATAAAATCATCTATTTCATTCTCTTACCTTCAACCACATTCTCTGAGTGCACAGGCACAAACGCAGTTAGATTTTATATTTCTTTGATATTTTTCTCTAATATTAAAGCGCAGTTCAGGTGCTTCATATCCTCTTTAAATACTGTTGCTTTTGCTGCAACAGTTTGTTTAGAACTGAGAAGGATATGGAATATTTTTCCAGATAGCTTATTAATGGAAGTTGAAGCTCGGGCGTAGCTAAAAAATTTGATTTGGGGTGGACAAATTAAAACTACTTAATTAAAATTTGAAAAAATTATAAATCAATTGAAATATAATTTTTTATTTTATTTTATAATATTAGTCTTTGTATATTTATTGAGAAAAATATAATCCAAAAACTGAGAAAAACGCAACCGAAATAAATCATGAGGGAAAATTGTATAATTCAATTTCACTTTGGGATATAGCATTATTACCTTGATGTCGAATTATTTAAAAAAAAAAAATGTACCATTTTAATTAAACAAAATTTCTCAATGTTGCCAAACAATGACTAGAGAGAGAGGTGAATTGAATCTTTAGACAAGCTTAGCAACTTTTCGAATTTGGGGCTGATACCGATGCAGTGTTTGCTATGTAATTAGGTGCTCAACAATTTGTACAGACAGTATGAATGTTAAGTGCTTGGTGTGCAAACAAAGTGAGGTGGCTTGGAGTAGTGTGCTAACAGATGTGAACAATAAACAGATCGAAAACAGAGTATATACAATGGTGGCTATTGCATAACTGAGATCGATAATAGAGACCATACCTTACCCGGGAAAAAAACATTACATCCGAGTCAAATGACTACCATTAAGCTACGCAAATGACTGATCTCTGGAATAAGTTGACCACGAAAATTGTTATCAAGAAGATTTAGCACCTTGAGGAAGGAGAGGTTACCCACATGGGGGGAGATGGTGCCGTGGAGTCCAAATTCAGGAAGCTCCAAAGCTGTGACTCTCTGCCTGTTAGGGCTGCAAGTTGGGTTGACCTAACCTAGCCCAGTCCCAACCCAACCTCAACCCGAATCGAATTGGGTTGGGCCAGTCCGAATTGTACCCAACATAGGGTATGGTTATAATCCGGCCCAAATATTTTCGGGTGAAATGGGTCGGATTGACGGGTTGAGTTTTTTTTTTTTTTTTTTTTAAAACAAAATTTTTTCCTTGAAACTACACGAGACACCAACCCATTGGAAAAAGTTGGTGTTTTCCGTCTAGTTACTCGGCAAAAATATTGTTGGGGTCGAAGGTGATTGCGGACTTGAACCTAAGAATAGCCGATTCATTGGTGTAATTCGAGGAAAACATGGCAAGGAAAGCATGGCACCACAAACCGCGCATGACAAAAACAGTAGGTGAAGCACTAATAGCAACAAGGCAATGTCAAACCTCTCCAACATCCCTCTCAACACACATAGTAAAGGTATATGAATGCTTTAGAAAGAGAGAGAGAGAGAGCTACATAGTGCTTTAGTATATATCTTTTTAACTGCATTATAACAACGACATATTTAAGATGAGAAGGGATAATCTATAATATAGCAAAATGAAACTAGGTATATATTCAAGAAACAATTGTTGTTTTCCTACTTGAAATTATCCAAGTGTTCACTTAGGAGGAAAGATTATGGATTCAATCAACACAGGAAAGAAAAGCACGAGGTACATTACAAGATAAAATGTCCCAACAACCAAAACTGAGAAGAAAAAGACCTGACAATGTCTGCTAGCTAGCTAGGCAACAAGAGAAAACAACAAAAACAAACCATACATCTTCACTAAAGCTATACACAACATCAATTTATGGAATTAAAAAAATAAACATGAGCACGGCAAAACCGGAAACACACATCATGAAACCTTACTTGGAAAACAGTTGTAATTTGATCTTACCCAGTTTAGCCACCACTTCTTTTATGTCACTCCTTTTTTGGGGTAGTTCTCTAGAACACTCCAACCCTAGTTCAATAATCGATACAAAAATGCCTTCTGTGAAACTCATTTCATCTCCTCCTACTGTCAACAAATCTCTATCAATGACTTCTATTATTTTGTGGGGAAGTGATGCACTCACCCATTGCCTCAGACTTAATTCTTCAGTGAATGTCTCATTTTTGGGGTTTTTTTGTAAACTATAATTTATTCGTGCAAACTATTCATCACAAATAAACATGAATCCCAAATCTTAGAACTTCATTATTTTCACATACCTATAATACATAAATAAAAATAGTTAGATATAAATACCTCGATCCGTGATTGCAAATATCGTAGAGATCAAGTCCAACGTCGAGACTCTTTCTGCGGAACGAACAACGTGACAAACTGCAATAGCCAAAGCGTGGAAACCGATTTCTCTCTCTTGACCTTTTGCAATTGTTGCCCAAGTAATGACTCTAAAGAGGGGGTGAATAGAGTCTTAACAAACAATGGTCAATTTTTTTAATTTCAATTAATGTACAAGTACTAAGCTAACTTTCTCAGCAATTGTTTAATAAAGCAATCTAAATTTTAAACCTCAACTAACAACATTTATCAAGAGATTAATCATGCTTAACTTTAAGCAATAAATGTAAGAGATAAAGAGAGAGATTGCAAACAAGTACTCAGCGATTTTAGTGAGGTTTGGAAACTCCTACTCCTAGGCTCAAGACCCCTCTTGAAACTTCCCAATCCACTATGGCTTCTCCTTACGGGTGGAAAGCAAACCTTTTGCAAGAAGCACCTCCTTGCTTCAAAGTGCTAAGAGAAACACATTCTCTTAGTCTTCGTTGGGCCACACCAGCCCTTATAAAGTTTGAAGAAGATAAATGAAGTACAAGATAATCTCTCTCAAATCGGTAGTACAAATTTCAGCTCACTCTAAAGTATGAATGAATAGATTAAAGCTCTATACTCTTTAAGGATATGAAGTATGTGAATGATGAGACAAAGGCTCTATGATTGCAAGGATTTAATTCTCAGTTATTGCAATACATTTCTATGAAGACAACAACTCATTATATAGAGTTTCAGACGTATCTGATGTGTATTCTAGCTGTTAGGCACACTATTAAAGATAAAATAGCCGTTCAAATTTGAATCTGCGCTGGTTCGGTTGACCGAAATGAAACACCATTTTGTTTCAATCGTCCGAAATGACCTGAGGCTGTTATTTACCTTTTTACTTCGGTCTGCTGAAATGGATTAGGCTTTTACTTCAATCGTCCGAAATAGCCTGAGGCCTTTTAGCATACCTACTGTCAGAATCAGTCGTCCGATTCATATTGTCTTTTTATTTCGGTCATCTGGAATAGCCATGAGATTTTATTGCTTAGCTACTGCCCAAAATGGTCGTCTGATTCAAATTTTCATTCCATTTCGGTCGACTGAAATGGAACTTCAGTTTCAGGAACATGTTTTGATGATATTTATACTTTGTCTAATGTTCCTTGATTTTGACGAATGGGTTTTATGCATGATCCTAGATATATGAGCTTCAAAATGTTCATACATGCTTTAACAAAGGTTCCTAAAAGCTCACCATCTTACCTACCCCATTTGATTGACATGATCTTGATGACATCATTTTAGATCTTGATTCCTTTGTGACCTTTTCCCGTATCTCCATGATGCTCCTTTTCATTTGTGCTTTACATGTAATGTCTTAACTTGATGAATGCTTAGGTTTATAATTTTGCTCAAGGGAGACATTAGAATACATAGACATCATTAATGAATTATAATCATCAAAAGCCTTAGATTCAAGGTCAACAATCTCCCCTTTTTTATGATGACAATTCATTGATGTATTCGATAAATAAGAGTGTAAAAGTATGAACAGTACTCCCCCTATCAATGTGCATAGTTTTGAAAATGAAATTATACATATGTAAGAAATTACAAATCTCCCCCTTTCCCTGTGCATCTATTTTAACATTATAAGTAAGGTTGAGATAGCATATTCAAAATATGTATTTCATTTAATCAATGAGGTCACATTATAGCATGGTCATAAATAATGTCTCATAAATAATCAATACAGCATGGACATAGAGACATGTAGATATTGAGACCAAAAGACATCTATAACTACATCACAACTACATCCACTTCCACAACTACATCATCCTTTCTCCCCCTTTGTCATTAATCAAAAAGGTGGGGGGGGGGGGGGGGGTAAGGGGGGCATATCAAATGAAAAATCAAAAATGAGGGACTCCAGTAGCTCGAAAGTTAGCAAGGTCGCGCTTGACAAGGTCAACTTCATTTGTTACTTCTTCAACTCGTTCGCGCAAAGCTGGAATGTGATCCCTATTTTCTTTCCCAAGTTCAAGTTG